CGTTAATCAGGTTCGTTGGAATATTCGTTGAGCGGTGTTAAAGAGTGGCCGAAGAAAAAGCTGCAAGAAGATTGTATTTAACCAAATTTCTGATGATATGGGTGACAAGAAGTGTTTACCGCAGCAGATCTAATTTGAATTTTGTGAATGAACTGCATTACATGGAGGCCAAATGATATATTGAATGAAATAAATTGATATTATAGATGTCATCGGTGATAGCCAAATTGGCGTGTTTTGGTACGACGTTGATGGAGGGCAGCGATCTGAGTTATTACTTCACATTCCTAAAGGAACAACTGAAATTAAGTTCAAACGATTACATAAACACAACGGCGCGTTGTCTACAAATGATGCTTCGTATCGATGAGTATCGACACGCTTTTGTGGCTATTGACGGCATTGCAAGGTTCGTTTATGAAGTCTCATTCTCTGCGATGTATTCATTTTTAAAGAGCGCAATTCATTTAGCTGTCTCTATCAGAACCCTATAGCAATAGCAGTAATTTCAGTATTGTGACAGCACTGAGTGGCAAAGCGAATTTCCAACTGCAGTATCAGCTGATCTTCTCGTTGTGGTGTCTCACGTTCAACGCATCCATCGCAGAGCGCATCCCGTCGAGTGGTGTCATTCAGATTCTCGGCGATATACTCTCTGAATCCAGCAAAGAAAAGGTTTGGCATCATTTCGCTTCATTCATCTGCCAGTTATTAAGTGAGAGGTAAGCAATTATGTGGAAACGTTTCAAGAGAAACATCAATCAATTAACTTCGTAAATCAGTCATTTGCATTATTTGATGTGCATTTTCTTAACGGTGTTATCATTCAACAACTTTTCTTTGCCATTTATTTATTTCGATTCAGTTTTGGTTGCGTTATTACAGTGTGAAGTGATCCGTATTCAGTTAGTTTACTGGCTGATTAAGCAGTCTTAAGCTTAATGGTTTAGTTTCATTCAGGTGACTCGTATCATTTGTGCGACATTCCGTAATTTACTCGAGAAAATCGAGGATCGCGAACTGGTGCGCGAGGCAGCGCTGCAGATGGTTCAGTGCAAAACGCTGAAAACACTCGAGCTGGCAGATTCGAAGAAATTCGACGATGTCGATTTGCACGACGACATCGAGTTTCTTTGTGAAAAACTTCACGTCTCCGTTCAAGACCTTTCATCGTTCGATGAATACGTCACCGAAGTGAGTGATTTGCATTTTGTTGTGCACGACTCTGATTGAAATCGGCAAATGACGACTATTCATGTTAAATTTTCAAATTTGCAGCTAAAATCGGGTCGGTTACAGTGGAGTCCGGTGCATAAATCTGAGAAGTTTTGGCGAGAGAATGCGACACGTTTCAACGAGAAAGATTTTGAGTTGGTCAAGTATGTATTGTCGTTGACGTTTTTTGAAGTTATTGCTGTCTTCTTTATTTTTATTGATCGGTGTGATCTATATCGGTTGGTAGGCATTCTGAAAACGACCTCCAAACTGCAGACAGCTCGGAAATGCGATCCGGCAGTAGTGAGAGAATTTGTGGTATTATTCTATTGGTGAGGCAGGAAAATAGGATCAGTGAGATTTCATTTGCCAGTGCTAAATCTTTGGCCGATTTACTTAACGGATGTTTAATATTCTTTCACTTTTGTTTACTATTCGTTCACTTTTTAACATTTAATCATCTTTATTTTCCAAGTAAAA